TCGCGAATAATATGAAGAAATTTTCCAAGATTTTTATCGGTCTAAAGATTACAATAACAGTAAAACTTTAATAAAATCTCGTTAAAAATACATTTCACGAAAAGATTCTCACCTCATAAAATTGCATCAATTCCTCTCCATCGTATTCCTTGGGCTGGTTCAATGGTGCAAATTTGATGCTTTTTGGAGAAAGAGCTTCATATGTGAAAGGTGCTTTAAGTGTGTCTAAATCATGTGTTCCGATGGCAACAAGGGTTCTCTTTCTACATCGTAAAAAGTAAAATCAATATACATGTGATGTATTTTTGTTGTGCTGCGCCATATTTACGAGGAGTTATTAATACCTGCACAGATTGTTGTGTAACTTATCCTGCAAATCGATAAAGTTGTTGTAATTTCTCTCGGTGAAGGTAACGTTCCGCAGTATAGCACCAACAATGTAAGGTCGAATTTTTGCAGTCTAAATAAAATTACAAAATAATTTTGTCATGGGGGATTATTCATTCATCATAATAAATTTTCGCAATATATAAATTGACCCACTTCTGGTTTTACGATTATTTGTACTCGACCATTCTCGGGTTCAACTAATTTGTAAATGGGTGGCTTTGCTTTTTCTTGAAAGATTAATAATGCGCGAGAAATACCCTCATGGCAAAGGAGATCATATCTGATGATAAAAAATCATTCAAAACGTAAACTGTTTGATCAAAAAAATTTCAAAATGAAATTCGATGCCAATTTAAATTAATAAAGATTTAAACGAATTACCTATTAGCAGGAATATCAATCTTTAAGGTAGGCCTTTCCAATAAATCACCAGCTTTGGCTGCACCTACTTTCTTGCTAGACAATTCTTTATCCGAGGTCTGCCTTAGATTAATGATAAGGCGTTTAACAATTTATTTGACAAAAAATCGCATCGATCAAATAAAAGAACATACGTCTTCTTCCAGTTCAATGCCGAATTCGAAACATAATTCACGAAATTCATCTGTAGCTAAAATATTTTGAGAGTACATGATCAATTAATTGTCTTCCATAAAATAAAATTCAATCACCAAAGTGTTCGTTTCTAGCTGGCGTCAGCCATTCTCTTCAAAATGAATAATTGAGGTAATACGCGCTAATATGTTGAACACGAATGTTACGAAACTTGACATGACATTTAATTTCCTAAAAGACTTACAATAATTTCTTCCAAGCACCTTGTAAAATTCTTCCTTATCTACATGAACAGTCGGCATTTTGAATGACCGGGTTTACAGAGTTTTTGTCGCTTGAAGTTATTTATATACAATTTTTTTTCCATTACGAAAATGATTGGCTGAAATTTTTAAATTTTTCATCCGAACTTTCTATTGGTTGATTACTGAACAGCTTTTTGATTCAAATATACATGGAAACTCGATATTTGAGAACTTCCTCTTTTCCTAGTGGTAATTTTTACGAAGGTGAGTAATATATCAATCATAAGGATCCTTCATTAAAATCATTCATCCCTTATAAAACTCATTTTAATACGTTTGAGGGATGTTAATTTGCTGAGATAAACCCCCCTTTTTTTTTAATTATAAGAATCGATGTTTCTTTTTTGTTTTTTAAAAGATTATCCTATTCATGATCTTTATACTAGTTGCAAAGGAATCATTTATGAGAAGTAATTGATACCCTTTGCAACCTTACGCTGCTTGACTCGCTCACTAAATAATAATAAAATGTCAATAAGAGCGACACTCATGATAGCTTTTCTTTTTCTTTCCTTTTTATTCCTTTTTCCATGATGATGTGTTTTATTTGTGTTTTGGGGGAAATAAAATACGGAAAAAAAATAAAATAAAAAAAAAAAAAATAGATAAACTAGCAAGTCAACGAAGTCTATTTGATAAAATATAATAAAGACGAGATGGTTAGAATTTCGGTTTTGGTAATGTTAAACTTTAATTATCAATCACATCATTACGATTTTTTTTTTTTTTTTTTCAAAAAGTTCTTCATATTAAAAAAAATTTGCTTTTTACTTGCAGAATGATTGTCTTAATAACATCGTTAACGCTGAAAAGCGTGGTAAACGTCAGGTTCTTGTTCGACCTTCTTCAAAGGTCGTAGTCAAGTTCTTACGTGTAATGCAAAAGCATGGTACATTTCACTCTTTTTTATTTTTAATTTTTTTTTTTTTTGAATCCGATGTTGGGACTTAACAATACATCGGAGTTATAACTGAACAAAAGTCATTTCTCTTTTAGACTTTTGTTTTTTAATGCTTCGAGAGAATAACATCCAAATACTTACACGCCAATACGTCTTTAATGTCATTTATACGTATTGACGTTTAATGTTTGGTCACACTAAAATTAAGAATGTAAAAAAAATTAATATTAACACTTTTTTTTTTTTTGTTATACATAGAATACATTGACGAATTTGAGGAAATAGATGATCATCGTTCTGGTAAAATAGTTATTCAATTAAACGGTCGTTTAAATAAATGTGGTGTCATCTCTCCTCGTTTCAACATTCAATTGGAAGATATTGAGAAATGGGTTAATAATTTATTACCATCTCGTCAATTCGGTCATTTGGGTAACATTATAAATAAATTTTTTTTTTAATTTTTTTTTATAAGGATTTCATTTTTTAAATTTTTTTTATAAGGATTTCATTTTTTAAATTTTATTCGTTCTTTTCAAAAATAGTGTTGACCACAAGCGCAGGCATTATGGATCACCACGAAGCCAGACGGAAACATACTGGTGGTAAAATTATTGGTATGCGAAATTTAAAAAGTTTTACAATTGGTTCCAATCAGCCGGTTATAAATTTATTGATTTTTGCACTTTTTCTTAGGTTTCTTTTATTAATTAATGATGTTATAATATTAATTGTTCAAGAAAATTATAATAAAAGTTGTATTGTTAAATAAAATTTATTTTCAAGTTAAAACATCAAATGCGGACCTTTATTTAAACTTGTTATAATGATATAATTATAATTATTTGCCTACTTAACATTCATATTGAACAAATATATATATATATATTATAAACTTCACTTATTTAATTTTTTTACGAATCCAAGCATGAAAATTTTTTTAAAAAAAAATTTTTTTTTTTTTTAGTCTGTCTATTATAAAATGTCTTTAAAAATTTACAATGTAAAGTCCCGTTAATGAACCTTTTTGTAATATATTTTTTAAAGTTGTTGTGTTTGCCTCAGATCTTCCAGGAATCCCGGAATATCTTCGTCTTTCATATCGACAATGTCCTTCAAGGACTGCTCGATAATTTGAACCCCTCGCATTAATTCTTCCTCGGAAATATTTAACGTGGGAGCGAGCCTAATGATATTAACATGAGTAGGTTTCGCTAATAACCCTCGTGATTTGAGTAACAAACACAATTGCCATGCCGACCGATTGGACTTTGTCTCATCGATCACTATGGCATTTAACAGTCCTCTGCCTCGAACGAGTTGAATTAAGGGAGAATTGATATTGCGGAGAGCTGTTCGGAATTTCTCTCCCAAAACCGCCGCCCTCTCCACGAGGTTCTCCTCCTTAATGACTTCAAGTGCTGCAATAGCAACAGCACATCCTAGTGGATTTCCCCCATATGTTGAACCATGTTCTCCGGGTTTGATACACAGCATAATATGCTTGTCGGCAAGAACTGCTGATACCGGATAGACGCCACCTGACAGGGCTTTACCAAGTAAAACGATGTCCGCTCGAACTCCATCATGTTCTTGGCAAAGCATCTTGCCAGTGCGCGCTAAACCTGTTTGAACTTCATCAGCAATCAGCAGAACGTTGTGTTTCTTGCACAACTCGTGTACTTTTTTCAGGTATCCATCATCTGGAACAAAAATTCTGTTGATGATAAATGGAATTCATAAGCAAAATCGCGTTCAATAAAAAAAAAAAAATTATATATGTATTGATTTTTACATACCCAGCTTCACCTTGAATTGGTTCTACTAAAAAAGCAGCTACATGTGGACCGTGTGCTTCTAAAGCATTCTTCAAATCCTCAATGGAGTTGTAATCAACTCCTTTAGACGTAATAGGACAAGTCGGTCCTATTGATGGTACATAAGGTCCAAAGCCTCCACGTGAATCTGGATCAGTTGACATAGAAATCGCAGCCATCGTCCTACCATGGAAATTGTTTCGACACGAGATGATTATGGCTTTGTCTTTCGGAATCCCCTTTTTGAGATATCCCCATTTTCTTGCTAACTTAATACCCGTTTCAACCGCCTCGGCACCAGTATTCATGGGTAGAACCATCTCGTAGCCAAAATACTGAAAAATTTATTAAAGTAAATAATTTTTTTTTTTTTTTTTGGAAAATATTTTAGAAATAATTACCTCGGAAATAAATTTGGCATATTTTCCGAATACATCATTGTAATATGCCCTGGAGCTCAAAGTAAGTCTTTGAGCTTGGTTACAGAGAGCCTGGACGATTTTTGGATGACAATGACCTTGATTTACAGCTGAGTAGGCACATAAGAAGTCCATATATTTGTTACCTTCCGGGTCCCAAACATACGGACCTTCAGCCCTGGAAAATACGACAGGCAATGGATGATAGCTAAAAAATGAATAAAACGATCGATTGATTAAATAAATAAGTTTAAATAATTACATTAATAATAAATTAATAAATTTAATAGATGAATACTTACTTGTGAGCACCATAGGCGTGCTCAAGGTCAATGATTTCTTTGCTGCTAAGTTTTTTTTCGTTGCCGTTGAGAGACATGATTTGATCAAAAAAAATCTTATAAATCGGATTAAAAAAAAATTTTTTTCTCACGATATGAAAAAAAAAAAAAAGGATGGGGGTGGGAACTTGTATATATATGTGTAAATATACATTATAATCACATGGTTTATGAGTACGCAGGCCTCTCACGCATTACTTCGAAGCACATGCATTTTTCTGATCTTTGCAGTTAAAGGACGCTTAACCGTTACAAATTGATCCGTCAGACCGCAGCAAATCAAGGTTATGGTTATTCATATTGTAAACAAAAAGAATTGTTAACAAATATTTCCCGTGATGATTTGTTTAATCATGTGTTTAAAATTGGGCACTTGATATTTTAAACTTGGAATATAAGGCATTCAATTAACACAATTGGAAAATGAAGATAACTTGAGCTAATCCTGGTTTGGTATAATGTCCATAAAAAAATTTGTGGAGTATGTAAATCGTTAGGTCATTAGTGTAATGGCACCCGGGTTGAACTTTTTGCCCCTCCCCCAACTGTTCACACCCCGCATAAAGTTGAGGTACTCCATACATGTAAAAAATCAAAGTGCATCTCAATCACCGAGAAAATTTCGTTTTGTTCATAAATTTATATCAGCAATAGTTTGTCATAAACATTTATTCTTTGGATTGAATCGTTGAGAAAAGAAAGATTTCACTGTAGTGTAAATTTCTTGTTCTTTTGGCAAAGAATTTGGTCCAAAGTACTTCGCATTTTTCTGATGATCAATCTCAAAAGCATAATACTATATCGGATATAGTTACTCCATTACATAATTGGCAAGGAGTAGACAAGTAACAAAAATGATTAAAATCTCACCTTCAGATTAAGGGACCGTAATTAATAACAATATAGAGATGAAGCGGTCCCAAGAAAATTATAAAGAATTATTTTTACAAATTTATTATTAAACTTGTCTATTGTAATGTTTTAAATGAGCTACTTAATGAAAATAAATAATCAACCCTCTTAAGAATCTTAAATTTATAAATTTTAGGATTTAGGATCGGGTTCCTAAGACCGATCCTATACTTGGCGAGTCCCGTCAAAATTGTCAATTTTTGAATATCATTTTCACTTTTTACAAATTAATTATAAAAATTTTATGATGGGGTTACTTATTATAGATAAGTGGTTAGAATTCTATAATCTCTTCAAAAAAAAAAAATTTGTTGATTATAAAAGAATCTTTATTTTTTTCTTTTAACACCTAAAATATCAAAAAAAAAAAAAAAAAAAAAAAAAAATGATAGGTTAAAATATAGTATACTAAATTATTTAAATCACCTTTAAAAGTATTAATGAAATCAATATTTTGAATGGATTCTTATTTTCATAAAAGGCAGGATGTGTTATATAATGGATGACAAATACAATTTTTCTATAAAAATTTCTCCGTCTCCAGAATATGCCGTATAAGGGTGTTAATGCGTTGTGATAAATAATCCCTAACCATAACCTAACCCTAACTCTGCTTCAACATATGATGAATTCCAAATAGTTAAAAAAAGCTTATATATTATAAAAATTTAAATAAAAAAAATCAAAATATTTAAATATTTAATTATATAAATAAATAAATCATAAGAATATGATTTTCATATTATTTTATCTGCTAATATTAGATTAAATTTGGTTATTTGAATTATTGCGTTAGAAAATAAAATATAAATAAATAATTTATTCTAAATTATATTAATTAAAGGTTATGTTTAAATATTTGCTTAATATCTTTATTTTGTAATTTATGATAAAGTTAATTAAACAAATTTGTTTTAAAACTATTATAATTAAATAAATAAATATTATTAACAATATTTTATAATTTTAACTATTAAAAATTATTATTAAAATAAAAATTTATATTATATTTCTTTATAAATATTACATTTTTATAAAAAAGATTTATAATATTACTTGTAAACTATTATATAAAAATTATAATATAAATTTTAAAATAATATTATATTAATATTACTTATGTAATAGGT